TTGGCCCCAGCCGTTTAGTTTTGTGTTTGTTTTTCCCTTCTCCTCTGCCCTCTCCAGCCCCCCATCTGCCCTGGCTGCTGGACTCCCTTCTGTCTGCCTCCTGCTTCCTTCCCCTTGCTGCCCAGCGTTCCCTGCTCCCTCCTGGAGTTCCTCTCCCTCTCCCTCCCACCATCGCCATTTTCTGGCACCTGGAATTATTTGGAGAGCTGGACTGTCTCGTTGCTCGTGGACTGTTACTCGCGGCCATTTGCTCTGGAAACCCCCTTTTCCTAGATACCTGCTTTTGAGCTGACTTTCTCTTCCCCGGACCTGGTTGGGATCTCTCCAGATTACCCTCTCGGACAGTGGCTTCGTTCCTGTTTCTTTTGAATCTCAATAAAATCCTTGTTATCCCTGCAACTGATTCCTCTTCCTTTACCACCCCTGACACACTGGTCTTTTGGAGAACTGTGCTAACACAATATGAATTTGGGGCATTTAAGTGTTCAAATAGGCTTAGAGCGTGGCAAGGTAACACTTGGATAAAAGGGAAAAAAAATGAGTGAACAAGGTCTCTGTGGCTCATCTACTTGACATGGTCTCTGTTGACATTCATGGCTATAGAGGTCGTATCTAGATGCTGACCCAACATCTGGTCTGGATACGGACAGGTTAAAGTGATGGGTCTTTAATCTAGATTCAAACTGACAGTGTGTCTGCCTCCCCGAGCAGTGTTAGCAGGGCCTAAGTAACCCGAGACGTTCTTCAACCACTCAGCGCACTCAATCACCAGAATTCTAATCAGTCACACCTGTCACAGATCACCTCGTCACCCAGCCAGCACTATATAAGCACACACTACCCACCTTCTCATTGTCTCCCTCGTGGATTAAGGACTCAAAATCTGTGCTCTACTTACCTGCGATCTCGACTTACCTCCTTCCAAGATCTCCTTTGTCTCCCTTGTGTTCTCCAGCGTCTCTCTTGATCTCCTCATTCCTCACCTGCAATACTTAACCTGTCCCCAGCTGCTGGCAACTGCCATCATCGCATCTGGTAAGTGTGTGCTCTCCGACTCTGGTAACGCAAAGAAAAGTTTCATCCGTATCCTCATTGATTACCCCAAGAATGTTTATTTACCTGGACTCTCCTGCCAGTAGCCATTGCTACAAAACTGCTAATAAACACCTGTTGGTTTTAGGTATTTTCTTGCCTCTGAGTCTGGTTTTCTTTAACAGAAGACCAGACCGTAACAGTATGAACCCGACAGGTGTGAATCCCTTCCAGGAGCTGGTGGATTCCCTCCGCAATGTCCTCAGCACACCGGCTTTCATACCCACCACACCCCCAGTACCAGTTCCTGCACCAGCACCAGCATCTTCTTCGGCTCCCATCTACACTGCCAGTCCCATGGTCAATCCAGCGGCCTACTCTGGCTTGACGGATGAATGCAACCAGTTCCTTCTACAGTGTTTGTCAGTTGGAAAATGATACAGCTGCATCTCTGAGGTGAGCAGAGCTAAAATCTCCTTAATTCGGTCTCTACTCACAAGTTGAGCACTCCAGTGGGCTGAATCTTTATGGCAGCAAGATGGACCAGTGACCCATTCACTTGAAGCCTTTACTGCCCATTTCCAAGAAGTATTCGGGAAACCAGTTGGAGGTTTCGCCATCGCAGAATAATTACATCGTCTACATCAAGGCAAGAGCTCCATTTAGGATTATGCTCTTCGATTCAGAAACCTAGCAGCTTCCAGTGGATGGAATGAGCACTACCTGTTAAAGGATATATTCCATTGCTCCCATGGGACCGTAGGCTCGACAGGATGGGGTAAAAATGGGCTTGGGGGAGATAATAACAGCATGGGAAGATCATCTGCCATCCTCGTCTTGTACTTGGGCTTACCCCCCCACCCCGTCAACTTCCTTCACATCACTTAAATGCATGAAAACATTTAAATGTCAATGTCACTTCCCATTCTCTGCCAGCGCGCTGCATGTGTGTTCACTACTCACTGCTGTGTGTGCACTTGGATGGGTGTAATTCAGAGTATGGGACACCATACTTGGCTGCATTTCACTCACTCATTCACTTAATGCTTTATTATACAGGGCATTAATATTTATAACTCGTACGTAAATCATTCACAAGTCTCATGAATAAATATGAAGTGAATGAATAAGGTCTTTTTGCATCATGACTTTTTCTTTTTTTTTTTTTAAACCGAGTGATATGATGACACAACGGTAATGAGTCTAAAAACGAATACAATGGCCTTCAATCTCCACCATAATCATGAATAAATATGAAGTGAATGAATAAGGTCTTTTTGCATCATGACTTTTTCTTTTTTTTTTTTTAAACCGAGTGATATGATGACACAACGGTAATGAGTCTAAAAACGAATACAATGGCCTTCAATCTCCACCATACAATAACTTTATATAAATTAAGCTTGTTTTTTTTTTTTTTTTTTTTTTTTAATTTGAGTTGAAATTGCTCACTATTTTACAGGTATTTGCATGAAAGTTACACTTCTAATTTATGGAGCTATTACTCCATATAAATGAGTTTTAATGCATTTGTAAATGTATTAGTCATTAATGAACCGCATTACAAGTTTTTACAACTGAAACCTTAATATAAAACGTTACCATTATGTTTGGATTTAGAGTTTCAGGTACACTGTGAAGACATATAGAGCATGTTTTTGCTGTCTAACTCAAGCCACGCCTCCAAAACACATGAACACGCACAGGCAGACCAGAGACAGCATTGGTGGAAAGTTGAATGCAATGCTGTCAGATTACCTCATGTCTCATTCACAGGTAAGAAAACATTACAGTACAAAGCGTATAATAGGCGTTCCCCATAGCGACCCCTAGAGGACGCAGTGTCTCGTTCCCTAATCAGGGAACCATGGGTATATAAGTAACCCGAGACGTTCTTCAACCACTCAGCGCACTCAATCACCAGAATTCTAATCAGTCACACCTGTCACAGATCACCTCGTCACCCAGCCAGCACTATATAAGCACACACTACCCACCTTCTCATTGTCTCCCTCGTGGATTAAGGACTCAAAATCTGTGCTCTACTTACCTGCGATCTCGACTTACCTCCTTCCAAGATCTCCTTTGTCTCCCTTGTGTTCTCCAGCGTCTCTCTTGATCTCCTCACTCCTCACCTGCAATACTTAACCTGTCCCCAGCTGCTGGCAACTGCCATCATCGCATCTGGTAAGTGTGTGCTCTCCGACTCTGGTAACGCAAAGAAAAGTTTCATCCGTATCCTCATTGATTACCCCAAGAATGTTTATTTACCTGGACTCTCCTGCCAGTAGCCATTGCTACAAAACTGCTAATAAACACCTGTTGGTTTTAGGTATTTTCTTGCCTCTGAGTCTGGTTTTCTTTAACAGAAGACCAGACCGTAACAGTATGAACCCGACAGGTGTGAATCCCTTCCAGGAGCTGGTGGATTCCCTCCGCAATGTCCTCAGCACACCGGCTTTCATACCCACCACACCCCCAGTACCAGTTCCTGCACCAGCACCAGCATCTTCTTCGGCTCCCATCTACACTGCCAGTCCCATGGTCAATCCAGCGGCCTACTCTGGCTTGACGGATGAATGCAACCAGTTCCTTCTACAGTGTTTGTCAGTTGGAAAATGATACAGCTGCATCTCTGAGGTGAGCAGAGCTAAAATCTCCTTAATTCGGTCTCTACTCACAAGTTGAGCACTCCAGTGGGCTGAATCTTTATGGCAGCAAGATGGACCAGTGACCCATTCACTTGAAGCCTTTACTGCCCATTTCCAAGAAGTATTCGGGAAACCAGTTGGAGGTTTCGCCATCGCAGAATAATTACATCGTCTACATCAAGGCAAGAGCTCCATTTAGGATTATGCTCTTCGATTCAGAAACCTAGCAGCTTCCAGTGGATGGAATGAGCACTACCTGTTAAAGGATATATTCCATTGCTCCCATGGGACCGTAGGCTCGACAGGATGGGGTAAAAATGGGCTTGGGGGAGATAATAACAGCATGGGAAGATCATCTGCCATCCTCGTCTTGTACTTGGGCTTACCCCCCCACCCCGTCAACTTCCTTCACATCACTTAAATGCATGAAAACATTTAAATGTCAATGTCACTTCCCATTCTCTGCCAGCGCGCTGCATGTGTGTTCACTACTCACTGCTGTGTGTGCACTTGGATGGGTGTAATTCAGAGTATGGGACACCATACTTGGCTGCATTTCACTCACTCATTCACTTAATGCTTTATTATACAGGGCATTAATATTTATAACTCGTACGTAAATCATTCACAAGTCTCATGAATAAATATGAAGTGAATGAATAAGGTCTTTTTGCATCATGACTTTTTCTTTTTTTTTTTTTAAACCGAGTGATATGATGACACAACGGTAATGAGTCTAAAAACGAATACAATGGCCTTCAATCTCCACCATAATTTTTTTTTTTTGTGGATTCATGGTATAAATAAAGAATCTGATTTACTTTGAATAACTTCATATAAATTAAGCTGCTTTTTTTTTTTTTTTTTAATTTGAGTTGAAATTGCTCACTATTTTACAGGTATTTGCATGAAAGTTACACTTCTAATTTATGGAGCTATTACTCCATATAAATGAGTTTTAATGCATTTGTAAATGTATTAGTCATTAATGAACCGCTTTACAAGTTTTTACAACTGAAACCTTAATATAAAACGTTACCATTATGTTTGGATTTAGAGTTTCAGGTACACTGTGAAGACATATAGAGCATGTTTTTGCTGTCTAACTCAAGCCACGCCTCCAAAACACATGAACACGCACAGGCAGACCAGAGACAGCATTGGTGGAAAGTTGAATGCAATGCTGTCAGATTACCTCATGTCTCATTCACAGGTAAGAAAACATTACAGTACAAAGCGTATAATAACATTTTATCATTCAACATAAAACTGAAATTATGCACTTTATATCCCCAATTTCAGTGAAATAATGTTTATTGTGTACTTGCTTAATAATCTCAATATGATCAATAATCATTAAAACAGTAGAAAATGTTTTAAAATATGGACTAGGAGAGTAACTAAAACTGTTGATTAAACTGTCAAAGGCTGAAAATAAGAGAAAATTTGTTAATTGGGATCAACACAAAATATTCTTCGATTAATAAACAACAATAGTGATTTAAAACTTTTTGTAAACCAGTAATTTTTACAGCAACCAAAAGAAAACATGGATGGCAAAGAACAAAATACAAAAAAAATAGCATGTTCCAAGAAAGAAGTTTAAAGAAAAAGATGTCCTGTACCATAGTACTTGGTTTTTTTTTTATGTTGAATTTATACCAGTTGCATTTTCAGAGAAAATAAATGGAAGGGATTGATGACATATATTGTCAAACTATTGCCACCTCCTCTTCCTCGTTGTCGTCATCTTCATAGTAGCGATTCCTCTTGATCATCTCCTCTACAGTCAGGGACTCCTCAGCCTCCTCGCCATCCCAGAAGCCCACATCCTGGGATTTCATATGGGCTTTTTCTTCCACAGTTGGAGAGCATGTGTCCTGGGAAGACTGGAGCTCAGGAGAAGTGCTTAAGCATTTCACCGGTTTTTCCTCATCTTCCACATTGCCTTTCGGAACCTCATGTTGTTGTTGTAGCTCAGGCTCCTTTTTTGTTAGTTGAGTAAGAGACTCTTTATTTGTTTGTTGTAGACCAGATTCATTTTTTGTTTGTTGCGTCGGTTTGAGAATAGAGGAGGGCATCTTTTCTGTACTATCAAGTTTGGCAGGACTCTCAACGTTCTCCTTGGATTGGCTTTCACTGTCCTTTGTCTTTTCATCTGGGATTCTTGCCTCTTCCTGCACTTCAGTTTTGTCTTTCACTTTTGACCGTGAATGAAGATCCTCCAGTGAGCCTCGTCTGACCAAAGCAACCTTGTGAGATAATTGTGACTCTTGTTTTGAAGCATTGGATAATGCTAAGCTTGGTGCCACAGAAAAAGGACGGCTCCGCTCTTTGAGTGAGGAACTACGTCGAAGACTTTTCAGTTCTGCTCTTTCATGGCTCCGCTGAGCAGATGGAGCTTCCTCCTCTGGAGGCCACTTTGCTCTGAAAAGCTTGGATGAACCCTTTCCAACTTCAGTGACTGGACTGGACTGGATGGAGCTTCCATCACTGTCTGCAGGAGGTGGCCACGCAACTCTCAGTTTTCTTGTTTCCACAGAAGGGGTTTGTAGTTTTTCCGTTGAGCTGGTTTGACTTTTTGTCTCTAGAGCTGCAGCGAGGCCAGTTAATTTGACCAGTTGTGACTCCTCCACTTTAGGGCACAACTGTTCTGTAGGCTTCACTAACACGGAGTCTACCACAAAGGGCTTTGAGTTTTCATCTCTCTCAGGTTCCTCTTCGTTTGTTCGTGGTGTCCACATTTCCTTGTGTGGTCGATGGCCAAATCCCTCATCATAGTTGCCCTTAGACTTGAATAGCTGGCTGAAGTGAGGTTTACAGTAGATGTCTCCATGTAGGGAAGCATAAGTCCCCAAACTGAAATAAACGGGACACGAAAGAAGACGTATTATTTCCATATGAAGGATATCTAAAATCTGACCTCAGTAGGTTGTTGAAGTTTACTAATATTGACTAATTATTTTAATACATAGACTGAGGATGTCAAAAATGATAAATTATAAAACTAGTTTATTAACATTGTTTAATTGAGTTTGCTTTAGTTTGTATTATTTCACATTTAAAATGTTTCATTCATAATAATGTTTAAAGGTAAATCCAACCTCACAGAACATAAACATAACAGTAGCAACAACAGAGTCCTGCTACAGGGAGACGGAAGGACAGCTTCCTTCAAGTGACACACCATGTGACCTCCCCAAAATGTCTGGGAGCTTGCAAATGCCTTGTTGGAAGAGTGGAGTCACACCACAAAGCAAGAACTGGCAAATCTGGTGCATCTGTTTGTCAAATGTCTTTGAAACTCATGTCCTCTGTTTATGTTTACTGATAAAAGTGAAACTGATCAATGTGAATAAAAGCTTAAAGTAGTAGCTCCGTAGATTGGCAATAGAGGGACAGAAATCTCTATTCAAAATATCGTCCTTTGTGTTAAGAAGATGAACAAAACTCCTATGGGTTTGGAACAACATGAGGGTGAGTAAACAATGACAGCATTTTCATTTTAGGGTGAAATCTCATTTAAGTTGTATTGAAACCACAGAATATTCCTTAAGAGATCAGAGTAATTTAAAACAAAACTGACCTGAGTTTGGTACTACAAAAGCCACAGCGGAAGCAACTCTTGTGGTAAATCTGCTGATTAGCAACAAGTTTCTCCAATGGGTAAACGGTCTTTAGGCAGGACACACATCTTTCATGGACAGGCAGATGAAGTTTCTGTCCAGAGAAACACAAGAGTTATAACCATCTTATCAGCAATGAAATTCAGTATTTAGTATGAATACCAGACTTCTATGGTATAAAATCTCATGTTCCATACTAGCAGTTAACAGACTGTCCCAAAATCTTTGAAGGAATTTAATGTTCATATTCTATTCTCTACCACAGACAAACGGTATTGTTTTTGACTTTGTATTTGATTATTACACTCAGGTCCGGAAGTATTTGGACACTGACAGCGTTTTTGTGCTTTTGCCTTTATACACCACTACAATGGATTTGAAATATAACAATCAAGATGTGATTGAAGTGCAGACTTTTAGCTTTATTTTAAGAGGTTCCACAAAAAAATATGACATTTACCATTTAGGAGTTACAACTATTTTAAGCAAAGTGCCTCCATTTTCAGGGGCTCAATAGTATTTGGACAGTTGACTAAAAAGAGGTTAATTGACCAGGTGCTGTCCATTCCCTCGTTACTTCAAGAAAAATTAAGCAGATAAAAGATCTGAAGTTGAAATAAGGCATCAAATTGGCATTTGGAAGCTGTTTGACTGGAGCTACCAATATGAAGTCCAAAGAGATCTCGATGAAAGTGAAGGAGACCATCCTTGAGCTGAACAAAACAACATAAATCAATAAGAGAGATAGCAAAAACCTTAGGTGTGGCCAGGTCAACGGTTGGCTACATTCTCAAAGGGCGCAAGCCCATGTGAAAAGTTTTACATTTCGCTGCATTCCAAAGTTCAAGCTTGGTGAACTCTGACCTATGAATTCACATCACTGGAAGCTGTGTGACCAACAGCAGATTGATACGTCACAGCATGACCTTTGTAGCTGGATTTAAAAGAACATACATTTAAAACTGCAGCACTGCAGGAAAGTGGAGTAGATTGTACATTTTTACATTTTACATGAATTATTATATGTTATGTGTTGAATTAAAGTTTAAGATGCTGCATAGTGTGACGTCATATGCTACAAAACTGATAGGAAGCAGCTTCACAGCGCAGATGGATAATGACCCTAAACATACTGTGAAAGGAACTCAAGACTTTTTGAAGGCAAAGATATGGAATATTCTTCAATGGCCTGATCTCAATCAAATAGAGCATGCTTTTCAGTTACTGAAGACAAGACTGAAGGCACAAAGACCTACAAACAAGCAGCAACTCAAGGTGGCTGCAATGAAGACCTGGAAAAGCATCTCCAGGGAGGAAACTCAGAATATGGTGGTGTCCATGGGCTCCAGACTACAGGCAGTCATTGACTGCAAAGGATTTTCATCCAAATATTAAAATTGTGCTTAAATTTACAATTATGTCACTTTGTCCACATACTACTGAGCCCCTGAAAATGGAGGTAGTTTGCTTAAAATGGCTGTAACTCCTAAATGGTAAATGTCATATTTTTGTGGAACCCCTTAAAATAAAGCTAAAAGTCTGCACTTTAATCACATCTTGATTGTTTTATTTCAAATCCATTGTAGTGGTGTATAAAAGCAAAAGCACAAAAACTCAGTGACCGAATGCAGGTAGAAGTAAGCTTTTGTGTTTAAGATAAATAGAAATGAGTTTGTAGGCCACAGACCCTGGCCACTTTAGGAGGCTGCTTGTTCTCTGCTACAGGAGCTGCCCCACTAGGGCTCGATGTGTGTACATGCTCTCCTAAAGGAAACACAAATAAATGACAGATCACTACATACTCTACACTACTGTACACTATATACTGTAGCTATCTTTAGCACTAGAGAGCAATATCATGAGACAATGATTCATTTTATGTCTTAGCATTGCAAGCATGTGAAATTAAAGAAAATTGTAAGGTATGTTTATTTGCTAAACAATTACTTCCTCATTCACCATGTTGGTCTGGTTTTTCTTTTCTTTCAGCTTTCATAGTTTTTAAGGTTAAAGGCATGTCTGCATATAACCATAACTCGCTATTTATAAAATCAGCTCATAGTTTCAGTTTAGAATTGTAATCATAGAACAATGGACTCACCATTGATCTTTGTGCAGTTTGACTCAGGGAGTGTGCTCTGTATCAAATCATACAGAAAGAAAAAACAAACAATTATGTAAACAGGAGTCTTGTTAAATCTTAAGGTAATCACAAGGTAAACAATTTAATATTTTGACAAACATATATTATACATAACATCATGAAAGATTCACCTGTAAATTATGTGTAAATAGTGTAAATAATGTTAAATTCAGTATTAATACATCATTGAGAGATGTTTGTCTATTTAGTTTATTTAGACTAGATTTAGAAGGAAATCAGAATGTACCACTATCTGTCTATCACCAGCAGGTGGCGAAATCTCCTTATGATCCATGGAGGGAACACTTTCCTCTGTTTCTGACTGGTTTGCCTGAAACAAATGCAATCACTTCAAATCACCATACTTTAAAAAGAATCCAATAATGTATAAATAAATCAACATAATGCATATGTTACATGTGACTTACCACACATTTTCTCACCCTAAGGGATTTACAGTACCACCACACTTACTATCTTCTAATTCTTGAATGTATATGCCCTTGATTATTGGAAGTTTATTATTATTATTATTATTATTATTATTATTATTATTTGCTGTGGCATTAGTTGTTCTGGAAAGGATGATGAATATGTGAAAGAGGATTCTTAAACTCTGCAGTTACATCATTCCTATCATGCAGTTCATTTTCACGAAACCGTTATTTGAAACCGTCATGAAAGCACTTAGTTTAGCATAGTAATGGATATGAAAATGTTAATTTATTTGGTCTTAGAGAAACGGATCTGCTAGGCTGCTGCTGCTTCTGTTGATTATTGCTGCAACTGCAAAACAAGTACAAAAACTTGCTATTGCCAATACACAGACACACTGCTGTGGGTATATAAGACATACTGCTGCTGCACAAATAACATACATGAAATTACCCCTAGCAGATACCCCTATACAGGTGGAGCTGGGGGAGGTGGATGGTTTTTGAGAGGGTTTCAAGAATTGCTTAAAGCAAACACTGAACCGAACCATTTAAATGTTCATTAGCAGGCTAATTGACTACATATGCAACTGACACCAATCAGCTTGTGCCATGTGGTGATAATGTGATAGCTAGCAAGTTGCATTAAGGACCTATCAGCCTTCGCCATATATATATATATATATATATATATATATATATATATATATATATATATGAG